ACTAAAACTGGGATGCTAGTACATGTAGCAGACCTTTCCAAAGATTGTGTGCTTGTTATTAAGTTCATCTGCACGACCCAACGTAAAGAAAAACTGACTCCCATTATCATGGGGCCCAGCATTTGCCATAGCAACAAGTCCTCTTCGATTAAATCGCAATCGTGAGTGGAACTCATCCTGGTAAAGACAGAAAAGAACATGATTTAAGCATGTAACTATTTTTTCCACTTCTTTAGCTATGGCTTATCTATTTAAAACAATATGCACACACAGAAAATACACTGTTATTTTTTTTTTAAATACAGACAGTAATGAAACAAGTCTTTTGAAACTTAATTTCACAATTGTATTTAAAAGCTTCAGTTTTCATCATCAAATATTATTTTTAGTCAGCGTTTTTTCTTCTTGGTGCCTGTAACAATGCAAGTAAGTGAACCATCTTCTTTCAAAAGAAACCATAAACACATAACCAACAAACACCAAAATAAAGAAATTAGAAAGTAGTATATCAAAAATAGAAAGATGCATGATTTAATAACAATTCTAATTCTGTCTTGTTAATTTTATCTTCTTCCCATCACTGCCTATATAAACAAAAGTTATTATTTTGGGAGGAATTTATTATAAAAATTCAAAGCATTTACAAAGTTAACTGCATTTCATATATTTCTTGTAAAACTATCATTCTTGTTAACCACTGTATTTAGGGGAAAAATCCTAACTCATGTAAAATAACTGGAATCTCAATAGTGGGTTGTAATAGTATAGTATTGCAAAAATCCACACTAAGAAGATTTTCTGGACCATAAGAGAATAGAATAGGACTACTTTCAAAGTAAGCTGAAAGTGAGAAGTACTATATTAATACCATGATAGTATCACAATTCTAAACACTGCAATATTGAGATGCCACTAATTTTAAGCAGTGATACTACTACAATATTGGTAATACTTGTTTTGTCCTCTGCTCAGGTACCTATCCCTTCCACAAACTTCATGTTACGAGTCTACTCTAGCAGCAGGGAGATGGAAGGCCCAGGGACATGCTATGCAGCCTCAGTCAAGAGTTAAAATTACCTTGCCCATCTGAAATAACACAATCGGGCAGAACAGAAAGCAGCTGCTCTGTGTATGTAGCTTCACTCAGGATCTGAGTCTCCTGGTTAAGACATAAGCCATGCTGCTATCAATCATACCAATGAACACATATTCAACATTCGGAGACTTTTTCTAAATGAGACATAATGTGTGTAAGCATTGTACACATCTGCATCTGAACTTCCGCATATCAACAGCTACTCTTCACTCCTACCCACCCCTATTTTTCCTTGTGAAGTTCATGCTAATAAGGTTATACATTTATCATAATATCAGAACAGCTAGATTTAAGAACTCTCATTTCAAAAAGGCATATTCAAAAATACTGAAGCAACATGTGAAAGCAACTACTGTACAGGTATAATGTTGCATTTCTAATATAGGGTTTGTTTTCTCATAACCTAACATAGCAGGAGTAACAACTGATAGAGAGAATAACCAGAAATTAATTCAGAAGATATACAGATATGTACCTTGAAAGGAGCCCCATAGATTGAATCTCCACCTGTTCCAGTACCAGTGGGATCACCTCCCTGCACTATAAAGCCAGGCACTACTCTGTGAAATACTGTGTTATTGTAATACTCTAAAAAAAAAAAAAAAAAAAAAAAAAAAAAAAAAAGAGGATATTAAACACATGTAAGTGGTCTCAAAATCAAACTTTGATCTAGATTATGCAGAGATGTCCAGAGACTGAAATTCCAGATAGCAAGCACAGTAACTGATTTCACTACTTTGACTGGGTTCCTTTCTCTTTTACTGTCTTGCTCAGTGTGACTGTATCTCAGCTACAAAGTACTGCTGACGACATGTATGAAAAAAAACATTGTGTCATGGGTTTCTGTTGCAGAAGACACTACACATCACCCACAAGATACTGATGAATTATTTTCTTCTCAGCTTTTAAGTTTTAGCACTGGAATGATATTATCAATGTACATCAGTTTAAAAGGAGAGCTAAAACTACTATGCTCTGCCAGTATCTCTTGTACATCATTAGCCATATCCATACACCAAATGATTAGTATTTCCACTCACCAGCATGGACACAGGAGTCACCCCTTTCACTACCTACACTGTAACCAAGCTGATCATTTTCACAGAATGAAGTATGTGGTACCTGAAAGATCATCTAGTTCCAACCCCCCTGCCATGGACAGAGACACCTTCCACTAAACGAGGTTGCTCAAAGCCCCGTCCAACCTGGCCTTGAACCCTTCCAGGGAGGGGGCAGCCACAGCTTCTCTGGGCAACCTGTCCCAATGACTCGCCACCCTCACAGGAAATAGTTTCTTCCTTGTATGTACTCTAAATTTACCCTCTTTCAGTTTAAAGCCATTACTCCTTGGCCTATCACTACATGCCCTTGTAACAAGTCCCTCTCCAACCTCCCTGTAGCCCCCTTTAAGTACTGAAAGGCTACTACAAGGTCTCTCCAGAGCCTTCCCTTGTCCAGGCTGAACATCCCCAACTCTCTCAGCCTGTCCTCACAGGGGAGGTGCTCCAGCCCCCTGAGCATCTTTGAGGCCCTTCTCAGGACTCACTCCAACAGGTCCATGTCCTTCTTATGTTGGGGGCCCCACAGCTGGACACAGCTCTGCGGGTGGGGTCTCACAAGAGCAGAGTAGAAGGGCACAGTCACCTCCCTCAGCCTGCTGGCCACACTTCTCTTGATGCAGCCCAGGATACGGTTGGATTTCTGGGCTGCAAGTGCATGTTGCACGCTCATAGTCAGTTTTCTATCCACTACCGCTCCTAAATCCTCTGCAGGGCTGCTCTCAATCCACTCATCACCCAGCCTGGATTTGTGCTTGGGATTGCCTTGACCCATGTGCAGGATCTTGCACTTGGCCTTGTTGAACTTCATGAGATTTGCACGGGCCCACCACACCAGCCTGTCCAGGTCCCTCTGGATGGCATTTCTTCCCTCCAGTGTGTTGAATGGACCACACAGCCTGGTGTCATCAGCAAATTTGCTGAGGGTGCCCTCAATCCCACTGTCCCCATGTCTCTGACAAATATGTTAAACAGCACTGGTCCCAAAACCAACCCCTGAGGAACACCACTCATCACTGCTCTCTACTTGGACATCGAGCCATTGACTCGCTCTTTGAATGCGACCATCCAGCCTTCCCACTGCCTCCTGCAGCCCAGCACCGCTGCAGGTTGTCCTCGCCCTGGGCACGGCTTCTGAAGGCAGCTCTGCTGCCTGTCCCTGCCCCAGAGGAAAGGTCCATGTGTTTCCCGCAGCCTGAGCCCCAAACTGCAGCCTATCCCTCCAGAAGCTCTGTCTGGGTGGAGGCATTGGCCACTGTAGAGGTGGAGGGTGCGGACCCCCCAGCCGGAGATGTGGCCTTTGCTCTCGGACGAGTGCCCGCTGTCCTGCCCTGAGGGTCAGGTTGGACAGGTGCCCTTGGCCAGTGCAGATGGACACAGAACGGTGCCCCATTGCTGGGTTATGTGAACATCAGGCCTCGCCACTCGGCCAGTGGAATGTCCCTCCTTGGGAGAGGCGCCCCCCCTGTGCGCCCTCCCGCATGAGCTGTCGCACCATACTCTGGCACCCCTCTATTTTACAAAAAAAAGGCACAAAGATTGCATATGAAATTATTTCTACAACTTCTCTCTCATTCAGTCATTACCTTCCATACAAAGCTGAATGAAATTTCTACATGCTTTTGGTGCTTCTTTTGACCATAATTCAATATCTATATCTCCTGCTGTTGTTCTCAGCAAAACCTATAAAAATATAGATAAGCACATCATTTTATTGTAACTTAGCCACTGACAAAAGAATATCATTGCCAAGTTAAAAAAATGCGTCTGAATTCATTACATTAGTAACAGCAGTAGACATTCACATGTTCTAGGTAGCTACTGTTAGTTCTAGATATTATTGCCAAAACTTAAGATACAGTTCTGAATCAATACATATGAATAAGGCTTCAAGGCCAATGACCTGGTACCTGACACGTGATAGAAAACTTTCATATCCTTTACCACTTCTACAACAAAACAACAGAGAAAATAAAAAATATAAAATTATGCTGTAAATCTCCAAACGCAGATACTTATTTTACAAGTAATATCATTAAATTCAGTGAGAGACCATAATAAAATTAAGAATCTAAAATACAATCAAGAACAGAGGAAATGAAATTAAACGCTTCAAGGACTTCTCTGTGTTACGCATTCACACATTAGCCGTCGTGCTTTTGACTTTAAATGTCTTTAAAGGACTGTATCGCCTCAAACGAACTTAAACCAAAGCAGCAGCACGACACGGCAGCTGCCGCACACACACACCGCATATTCTCCTCGCCCCGCAACACGCAATTTCTTCGCACCCCACACCCCTCCTATACATCCCCCCCCCACTCAAAAGCAACCCCAGGGCGCACCCCCCCCACCCGAATACCCCCGCACGCACGCGGTGCAGCCGCCTCAGCCGCACCCCCCCGCGCCTGCAGGGCCCCCCCACGGAGCCCAGTTTCCCCACCGCAGCCCCTGCAAGCTTCACCTTGCCGTTGGTGGGAGGCTCCTGGATGTAGATGTTACTCATGGTCGCTGAAGGAGCGTTCCGGCAGGCGGAAGATCGCCCGGGCTCGGCGCTCGAGTTCGCGTCGTCCCTAACGCTCCCTACCACCCCGGACCTCCCGCCATCTTGGGCGCCTCTATAAAGCCCAGGGAGGTGGGGAGGAGGTTGCCGGAGCCAGGAGGAAAGGCGAAGGGGTGAGTTTCCTGCCGGAGTGTCTCTGGGAGTTACTGAGGCAGGAATGCATTTCAGAAAGGCCCGAAGGCTTCTCTAGACACCTGCAGTCCCTTCCTGTGGCTCCCTCCCGGCACTGAGCTCCCCCGTTCTCTCTGTGCGTGGCACGGTCCGAGAGCGCGCCCGGCAAAGTCTTCCGGCGGGGAGAGGCGCCGCTGCGGACCGGGGCCGGGCTGGGCGGTTGAAGGCGCTATGGCTCTGCCGGGTAAGGCGCTTCCAGCCGCGTCTGAGGGGGAAGAAGGGGCCAATAGCCGGCCGGCATCAGGGCCGGCACGTTGGGAAGGGGAAAGAAGCGCCGGGCGGGCGGAAAATTACGCGGGGAGGGCGCGCGACCTCCCATCGCAGTGGGAAGGGGGCGGCGGTGGGGCGCATCTCCCTCAGGCAGCAGGGGCTGCCGCGGGAGAAACCCTGCTCTGGGCTCCACAGCCGGTTTTCTAAACCCGCGGGAGGGAGGGCGATGGCCGGGGGAGCCAGGGGAGGGGGGCGGGGAGTGGAGTGTCTGGCCGGCCGTCGGTGAGCGGAGCTGTGCAGTTGCTTCCTCCGAGGCCTGCGGGGCCTCTCCTCGGCCTTTTGGGTGAGCCGTGAGCAAGTGCTGCGTCGACTCATATCAGTATAAGCCACCTTCCTTGAAGTTAGATCCACACAGTGGTTGTCGGGCTTGGTTTCCCGCCTTGTGTTTTATTCCACATTAGCGTTTGTGTCCCAGTAGATTATTGTTTAAGTAGACCCATTGAGAATGATGGTGAGGCAGGACAGGCAGAAATGCTTGTGCTGCTTGCAACGTATTTAGACATACGTGAGCTAAACATACAGCCGGTGCTTCATAACTTTTCCTTGATCCTGAGATGTGAGGAGCTGAATAAGCCTGAGCTTTGGTAAGCTGCTTCTTGTCAGAAAAGAGACGACCTTAACAAGCTTGATCCCATTCTAGAAAGGGTCCTTGAGGAAGACATCTCATGTTTGCGCTCAAATGTTTCCAGAGCTTTTTGTGCAACCTTGTGCTCTGCTGAATGAATGAGGTCCCCTTAAGAGAGTGCTTGCAATTAAAATATAAATTACTTAAGAGTTTTCAGTGAATGTCTGTCAACATCCATGCACTGCTAGAATTTATAAGTACATGTATAGTGTACAGTTATGGATCCCTGGAAAGTCAAATAGCTATTACCGTGTTCACACTGTAGCTAAACAAATGTATAAGCTTCCAGATAAGTGAATAATTATTAAAATCACAGTGGAAAGGTCATAATAAATCAAATGAGGATTTGGCAATAAATTATGTGAAACTAAATGATCCATAGCAGTTCATGTTATCCAAATTTGTTCTGATAGATTACGGCACAGAAAAGTGACCTTGTAAGTGCACTGGTTTGCCTTTTTTTAAGTTTGTTTGAGATAACTACGGTACTTAATACTCCGCGGACTGATTGCTCCTTTCTGTGTATTGACATTATCAAGCCAGATTTAAAAGAAATTTGAGAGCTCTATTTAAAAACACCTAATTGATGAAATTTTCTGTTTCAGGTGGAAATAAGGATAACATCAGAGCAGGATGCAAGAAATGTGGCTACCGTAAGTCTGTAGTAAGCAATATGAAGTTACAGTGTTTAATTTATCATGTTGGAACTGCCTTGGGGTGGGGAAGAGAGGGGATAAAAAAGAAGTGTTCTCCCTTGTTGTCCAGACATTTGTCAGTTTAAATTACCATAATTTTATTTATTTTTTCATTTCCTATTCATTCTCTGGCTCCTCACACCTACTGCTGCTTTTGAAAACCCTTGAGTTTCTCGAGTAAAAAAGATAAAGCTATTGTATTCTCATATACTGCATTTGCAGTGCAATTAGTTGAGAAGGTTTGAATTGAAAGCACGGTCTTTGATATCTACTGAGATTACCTTTCTTGCTTCTGAGTCTCACTGGGAATTTAGGCAGGCATTTCAGCTCAAGTGAAGTCCAATCGGGTTTAAAAGAAAAAAAGGGTAAAATATGTATGTTCTTCTATGCTAAGAAAACATATTTCTTTGTGCATTCTGCATTTTAAGAAACAGTTAATTTTGTTATTTACAAGTTCTGTAGTTAGCATTTAGTTCATGCTTTGCATTATGCTCTGATCATGTCTGTGGCTACTCTCCTGATGATTGGAGACAGGATTAGTGGAGATTTTAATTTGTTGATCACTAACTCGTATTTTTAGAACAATGGAGGGGTGGATATTGTTTTGCAGTGAATTGTGTTGAATTTTTAACAGTGATTTTAATAATTTTTTTTATGAGCAATGTGGTGTGAAGGGGAAAAAAGCTTGCTTCATTCTTTCACTGTAGACACTGTCTCCAACAAATTTTGTCAATGAGTTGCTTGTGCATCTGTTCTTCCAAAGGAACATGGTTATCAGTATAGATTTAGTGCTTCATTTCTACATGTGGTAAGTACCAGAAGCTTTCTGGAGGAGAAGGAAACTTGTAGTCAGATTGCACAACCTGTATTTATTCTCCTAAAAGTTCTATCTTCAAGATGTAGGTATTTTGTGTTATAAAGACAATGAGCATATTTCAAATGCTGCTTGAATTCCTGTGTCTTTAGTTTAATTTCTCTCAAACCATATTTTTATTTTGTTTCATTTATCTTTATTATTCCAATAGGTGTATTCAGCACAAGGTTTTTAACTCTGGTCAAGACTGAGATGTAACTTGGAAAACTAAACACTAAACTGGTCAAGTAGCAGCTTAGTCAGTATTATGTACTGGCTGTTAAAGATTACATCTCATAAGTGAATAGGATTCCGCTGTGTCACTAGAGGGAGACAAAAAGCAATATAACACACTTGCTGTAGTTTTTAAAATATTTCACTTCATGCTTTTAGGTAATTTCTTCAGGAAGGATGAGAGCTCAATAAAAAAATAAAAGGTGAAGGTTGGACAAAATCTTTAGAGTAACGGAAATAAGACAGAGGTCATAAAGCACTATTAATTGAAATGAAACTGCACAGCCTGGCAAAATTTTTTGAGGCTTTTTCAAAGTAACTCTTCTTCCTCCTCCTTCTCAGATTGCAGCCTAGCCTTTTTTCACTTCTTTAAATAATACTAAAATGGATGTTCTTTAGTTTCTGATATTTTTGGTAAATTGTAATTTTTAATTCTGAATGCTTGTTTTGTTCAGCTGGTCATCTGACATTTGAATGCCGAAACTTCCTCCGAGTAGATCCTCAAAGAGATATTGTTTTAGATGTTAGCAGCACTAGCAGTGAAGACAGTGAGGAAGAAGAACTACAGAGATTGCAAGCCATGCGTGAAAAAAAGAGTAAGATGTTGGTTTTTGTTTTTTTTTTCTTAAAGAGTAAGTTGGATAATGGTCTTCTGAAGTACTGAAACTCTCATTTTATCCTTTGTGATAGCTACTATTAGTTCTTTTAGCCTGTGCTTTAAAAGTAGGTCTTTTACTTCATGTGTTCAGACTTCAGAGATTTGATACACCGACATCTTTTTTTATTACTACTAATTCCTGTTATAGGAAATTAATAATGTACCCATTTGGAACATCTCAAGAAAGGCTCCTAAATACAGAAGATTAAGACTGTTACTAAGAAATTGCTTAGGGGAAAATTACATGGACGTTCTGAGTTAATCTTTTGATTATGTCATGTAGTTTAAACATCTTGAAGTTGATAGTAACTCTTAAAACGAATGACAAATATGACAGCTAAATTTCTCTTCAGTTTCTAAGTAGTGTTTTGATTGAAACAGCTAGTGAATTGAATTTAAACATTCATATTTGGAGAAATACTGTTTTCTATTTGGAAGGTCTGAGCATCAACTGTTTGTCAGAGAGAGAATAAATGGGTTATTTAGCAGATAATTGAGTTAATTTGTATTGGGACTCCAAAGAGGCAGTTCTATAAGTAAGAAGGGGAGATTGTTCCACCATAACATGCTTCAAATGAATGAATGTTCTCCCCATATGCCCATTGAAATGTCATGTTTCGTTCTGTTGTTCTCACATTCCAGACATAACATTGAGTTCCTACCAAAGGTACTATTTAGGATGGAGAAGGGATAGACAGAACCCTGTAATTTGCTGGAACACTGCAAAAGAAATGGATAGTCTGCTTGTCAGGAGTGCTGAATGGGTACTGCAACAGTCCTTTCTTGGAACAAGTCTCTTTGGAAAATCTTGTTCCCACTTATTATGTACTCTTGAATGTGAGGGGATTTTTGGCCCTAAACTGATTGAAGATGGATATCTGCAGGAAAAACAGATATTTACTTGATCTTGTAATATCTCTGTTATATGTTCTTTCTCAAATGTGGCTGCTATGTGTACTGTAAGAAGATATGTATCTTTTAACTGTCAATAATCTAGGCAGGATTTTGCCATTTTCAAGTGGCCTCATTTTAAGATTTTTGCACTGTTTGCACTTAAATTTTTGCACCGTTTTCTTAAAAAATTACTGAGTACTTGTTCACACATTTTTATTCATGGTTTTTTATTACTCCAAAAGTAATTTGTGTTTTATAACTCATACTGAATTCTTTCAAATTTCACTTCAGAACATACAGACAGGTAATTTCTATTTGGGGTAGTAAATGAATAACTGCACTAGCATGCAGACTATATGAAATGTTGATTGATAGAAATAAGATGAAATGCTCAAAATCAACTATGTGTTTTAAGGTTAAATTGTAAAGCTGGTATTTTCCTATTAGCTGACATTGTAATGTGTATTTATGTAGTGGGTTTGCATTTCAGAGAACTCAAAAATGCTTTTTGAATTGCTATATTAAAGTGTTAAGGTCAGAAACTTCATCTAGTATAATAAAAATATTGCTTGTAAGTGAAATGTGAAGATACTATATAGTATTACACAGTGTTAGGGCAGGAAACAAGCATGACCAGATGAGAGGTGACTCTTGTGCCTATTTTTATAGACAGTATATTGACAGTTAACTCAAATGGCATGGCTCTCTGTGAGGTGTGAAATGAGGATGTGTGAAAGTAATTCAGGTAAACCTAAGGGATTATTCTTTTTTTTGTATGTTCTAGTTAAATGACCTCTTTTCAGACTCGGACAAGTCTTTTAAAATGCAGAAGAACAAATATAAACATATAGGAGAAGTCAGTACTTTTTGCTACGTTTCCTTCATTCTTAGTGCTTAGATCAAAGTCATTAGAATGTAAATTGTATAAAAAGTTCTGCTACACTGCAAAATATTTCTGAAATTACTATACTAGATGAGAATTTGGAGGAAAGAAAAGAAAAACTAAGAATTCTGTAGTAACTTTACATTGCTATTGAAGCCACTTTTTAAGTGCTGATATTAATTCAGAGTAACGTTTTGTAAACTGTAACTTTTTATCCATAGATTTAAATGAGGAGGAAGAAAAAAAGAAACAAAAAAGAAAAAACAAAGAAAAAACAAAATTAAAGAGACCAAGGAAAAGGTAACTCTATCAAACACTTAATTTCAAAACAGAACTTTAGAAATATTTCTGATGTTTGAGTTCTTTCTCAGAAAACATTGCTGCTTTGATGCGACTTTATTTGCAATTACATCTTTAATTTGAAAAGCTTCCTTTTTTCCAGTGAGAATTTTTTTGTTCTTTGAGTAATAGTAAGGCCACAGGTTTTTTGCTGTGGAGTTAGGACCATGGAAGTGTAGAAAGTTAGCAGGCTGGAGGTCTGTGGGTCTGAGAAATCAATGCTCCTGCTGTTTGTTTGTCCAGCAGTAGGCAAAATATGGTGGAGAAAAGAAAAAGTCTAGAGGATTAGTGGGGTTGGTCCCCAGCTTAACTCACATGGAGAAGCCTCCCTGAAGATCAGAGTCCCTAAAATTCCCTGTGTGCACACATGCTTGTCTAGACACACATGCACATGCTCGGAGTAACACGTAACTATCAAAAGGAAAGCTTCTGTAGTTTTACTTAGCATGTGTTGAGTCTTAATCTTTCTGTTACAATAGAAGCCTAAAAAAAAAAAAGTTACTCCAGTTTCAAAGGAAAACGCTGTTATACTCAAATTTATTGTGAAACTGAGTTTTGGCCCGCTGACAGTTTTTTTATATATGAAACAATAGACTGGTTAGTCATTGGGACTGCTGATGAGACAATATCCCAGGAATGGCACTGAGAACTAGGGAATGTATAATCTATTTGGAGGCCACAATAAAATGTTTTTCAGAAATAAAGAAACAAGATTTAACACTGATTTTATTGGCATTTTTTCCGCTTCCTTATTTGCGTAATGTAGCTCTAACTTACACTTACGAAGACAGTAGAAAAGAGTCAGTCTACTGGCTGTAATATTTACCTGCAAGTAATTAATAGTTACTCATGCAAACAGTAGCATAAAACTGTCCTCTTGACTATAGTAATTGTGACCTTTCTTTCATTGTCACTTAATTTTTGTATGTTTATAATCACTCCTCACTGCTGATTAGAGATCAATATTATCATCTGCAAGAGCATCCAAATTTGGCACACCCACTTCTCTTAGATTTTTGCACAAGAGAAATATATTAAGATTTGTTTGAAGGTATTACTGTAGCTTTGTTATTGATCATGTGATATTTCAAAAGTTGGAAGCGCTATCTTACTGTCATACTTGGTTTTTGTCAGCCTGTACTCTTATTCTTATTGAAGGTTGAAAAACACACAACTTGCCCATTCTGTCGTTAATTAATCTATATTAAAAACGTACAGCTTTTCTGGCACAATAGTCTAACTAGAAAAGTTGTTCAGTTGAACATGCAGACTGAGATATCATAATCTTTCCAGTGGATGCTACTGTACAAATTCTACACCAAATTCAATTTATGACATTATTTAAGTACTGAAATTAAATACCCCACATTATTCTTGTGGCATTTTCCTTCTTTAATTATATATCAAACTGTATACATACATATATATATATACACATATACATGTTGGGGTTTTTTGTTTTTTTTTTTTTTTTTACTAGATCTTCCTCATCAAGTACGGCTGAAGAGGATGGGCCAAAGCCAAAAAAACAAAAATCACATAAAAAAGAAAGGGAAAGGGAAAAAAAGAATAAATCTAAGAAAGGAAAACATCATAAAAAGGAGAAAAAGAAGAGACGAAAGGAAAAAAGTTCATCTTCTGATAGTTCAGACAGTTCTAGTAGTGACTGAGGTGCTGGGCTATTTTTGCGCTCACTGCTACAGAGAAGATGATTTTCCTTTCAAATCAATTTTATTTATGCTTTGCAATGCTGGTGTTTTAAAATGAGATCTATATATATTTTTAAGAAATCTATTTGCAAATATCAGTGCTTCAAATTTTTAAATGGACCATTTGGGAAAAAAAATGCTCTTCTATTTCAAGTTTATTAGTACTGTCCCATGTAAGCTTAACTAGTTTTTCACTCTTAGTTCAGCTGTGATTAGTTGTGTTTGGAATCCTTTACACTAGGATATGATCAACTTCAGTTTGCAAGTCCTTGTGTAGAAAGATTTGGACTTATATTCTTACTGTCAGAATGGTGAAATTAAATTTGGAAATTCAAGTGAGATTTTCTATTATGTTATCTTTTAAATAAATGTATGTTTTACATACATACTTACATACATTAATCAGTAAGTGCAAATATGTAGTAGGGTTCAGGTCCAGAGAATGTAAAGAATGGGCAATGAGAAGCTAAAAGAGATTGCTCCTTCAAAATTATCTTCTAATATTAATATAGTCATAGACTATGAAACACAATTACACATTCTTTTGGCAAGATCCGTGTGAGCAAGCTCAAAACAAACAAAACTGTTGATTTTCCAAAGTCCTTTCTTTTTGCCTAGGTTTTGTTCTTTTACAATTACAGCCATTTCATCTTTGACATAGATATAAAATGCAACTTCCTAACACTAGATGGCTGTCCAGCAAGATTGTTTACAAAACTGTAAGAACTGTGTTAGTACAGTACGTGGTAATTAATGCCTACATGAACTAAAACAGAAAATGCAAAGACTGACAATTGACAAGAATTATGAATCCTCCATTCTAATAAAAATCCCATTGTAAAGTGAAACAAACAAACAAGCAAACCTTTTGTGGAATGTGTGCAATCTGCCATGTTGAAGTTGGTAGCAAAATTTACCTTTTGCTATTGGGAGCAATGTTAAGCATGTCAAAATTTTATAGCTGGATTCTGGGGTATCCAATTCATATCTTGTACTGTGGTAGGGTACAGGTTCAAGACAGACTGATACTTTTCAGTTGAGCAGATTTTAGATGCTTAATCCTATCCCAGAATTGCCTAAACCTCAAAGTGCCTACGTTTACAGCTTCTTGAAATTGCGTGTTCATGCTTATGATTTTGGTTTTTCTTTTGCTTAGACGTAGAACTGCTTCCACCTGAGCAGCTTGGCATACAGCTGCAGTGTAAGTCTCATGGGAGTCAAAAGAGGAGGAAGAGCAACACCAAAACTTTCTTAACAATAATACCCATTGCCTGTGTTTTTGACAGTGGGTTATAACATTGAGTCGGTACAAAATGTTTTATGGTATTTTAATGGTTACTGCATTTGACCTGAAAGTGAGATAGCTAGATCTAACTCTGTCTTTCAAACTTTAGTGTCTCAGACCAATACCCTTATCATTGTGCAACTCGTGCTGTAGATGCTATGCTAGGGAACATTAAAGATCAAAATACTCGTGGAAGCCTGTTGTGCTTTTAACCCAGCCAGCAGCCAAACACCATGCAGTTGCTTGTATCTCTGCAAACCGACTTTATACACTTTCTCCTTCAGCAGCTTCTGCGACCTATCATGTGAGGCTCCACGCAGTGGCCTTCCACCTTCAATGCTTTCCTACAATGCGACAGGACCTGTCAGTAAACAAGGCATGTTGCTTCTCATTATCTGGTAGTTCATTATACAGTGGGGGTTCTTCAGCATGCATCACCTCTTCCTCTGGTGACATTCTGAAATCTTTGTCTTCTGGCCAATTTGTGATCACTTCCAATACTCCTGGGTGGCTGGGGCTCCCTATCTGAGCCCGCTGTGTGATCAGTGCAACCCATTTACTCCACATGGCATCGACTGCATGGTGTATAGAGGAGACCCAGCCCAGCACTGGCAGTCAGGGTGCCAGGAGGAGCTGGGCTTCAATGCCGACCACGTCAGAAGCTGCTCAAACCCCTTCATATGCTGCCAATATCTCTTCTTCAGTTGGAGTACAGCAGGCTGCAGATCCTCTGTATCCCAGACTCCAAAATCCCAGGGGTCGGCATTGGGTCTCCCCTGGTGCTCTCTGCCAGAGACTCCAGGTAGCGCTATTCCTCCTGGCTGCAGTGTAGAGCACATTTTTAACATCTTGTCCTGCCCGAACTGGCCCAAGGGCTACAGCATGAACTATTTCCTGTTTAATTTGTTCAAAGTCTTGTTGCCCAGCGCCCCAGGTAAAATCATTCTTTTTCCCAATTACTTGATAGAGGGGGCTTACAATCTGAGTGATTTGGAATATGCATTCTCCAGAAACCTACAATACATAAGAAAGCTTGAGTTTCCTTTTTGCTAGTCGGTGGGGACAGAGCTGTTATTTTATTAATCACTTCCATCGGAATCTGATTATGTCCATCTTCCCATTTTATTCCTAAAAACTGAATCTCCTGTGCAGGTCTCTTGACCTTATCCCGCTTTATGGCAAAATTGGCTCTCAGAAGCATTTGGACTATTTTCTCCCCTTTCTCAAAAAATTCTGCCGTATCACCCCATATGATGATGTCCTCAATGCACTGGTGATGTTCCAGAGCTTCCCCCTGTTCCAGTGCAGTCTAGATCAACCCATGGCACATGGTGGGGCTGTGTTTCCACCCCTGGGGCAGTCATTTCCAGGTCTATTGGACACCCCTCCAGGTGAAAGCAGACTGTGGCCTGCACTCTGCTGCCAAAGGGATTGAGAAGAACGTGTTGGCAATATCAATTGTGGTGCATCATTTGGCTGCCTTTGACTCCAGTTCATGTTGCAGCTGCAGCATGTCCAGCGCAGCAGCACTCAGCAGTGGTGTGACTTCATTCAGACCACAATAGTCCACTGTCAGTCTCCACTCTCCATCAGACTTCCACACTGGCCATATGGGGCTGTTAAAGGGTGAGAAATTCTTGCTCATCACTCCTTGCCTCTCCTGTTGACAAATCAGTTTATGGGTAGGAATTACAGAGTCTCGGTTGGTATGATATTGCCACCAGTGCATTGTTGTAGTAGTGACTGACACTTGCTGTTCTTCGACCCTCAGCAATCCCCCAACAGAAGGGTCCTCTGAGAGACCAGGCAAAGCAGACACCTCTTTGATTTCCTCTGTCTCCCAGACAGCTAAACCCAAAGCCCACACGTATTTGGGTCCCTGAAATACCCTCTCCTGATGTGACCTGTACCAAGAATGCATGGAGCTTCTGGGCCAGACACAATGGGGTGCTTTTGCCACTCATTTCCAGTTAGGCTCAGTTCAGCCTCCAACAGAGTCAGATGTTGAGACCCCCTGGTCACTCCTGAAATACAAATGGGTTCTGCCCCTTTAAAATTTGATGACATCAGGGTGCACTGGGCACCAGTGTTCACCAGAGCCTCCTGGGTGTCAGATGTGCCGGGCCACCAAATCCACACAGTCCCATGAACTCAGTTGTCCCTCCCTCCATCTGGCTGGAGGCTGGGCCCCTCGAATGTTGGTCACAGTATTCATTATTGACAACTGTAGATTGTGTGGGTCTTGGCATCATCTTGGTTACTCTGCTTCTCGTGAATACAGAACAGAAGTTCTCCTCATACAACGGGAAGCAAAGTTAACCCTTCTGCTCAGTTTGGGCAATGGATTACTGGAAACTGGAACAGCATTTCTCCTGAAAGAACCCCAATTTGTAGTTTGTCCAATTGTCATGTCAATGCCTGCTTCCCTAGACAGGGATCTGGGCTGCCTGGCCTGCTTACCCTCTACTCCCACACTACTGGCCCCACTGTTCCAGCATCAAAACAGCCAGGTAACAAGTTGCACACCTGAGTGGAAGAAAAAAACTTTCACGTCTCGCAGCTCACTCAGGGATAGAGATCTAGTGATTATTACTGGTTCTGCCTCCTCCTCCTGTTCTTGTGATGGTCTTGGTTCATTGTCATCCTTTACAATGTGAGGTGATTTTTTTGTGTATTTCTTCTTATGTGTAGCAACACTGGTACCATCATGGGTTGGTTGTCCGGTTCAGCTGCAGTGCCTGGTGGCAGGGTCGGAGCGACTGCAGTGTCTGCCACTGGGGCTGGAGTGGCTGCAGTGCCTGTCATTTTCTTATCAGACCCAGAGACCACCTCTTCCCCTTCAGAGTACTGAGTAGTGGTGAACAGGGCTCAGCAGACATGGGCCAGGCCCCAGCACCTTACAGTGATTCATGCCTCTGTGTCCTGGTAGGGGCTGGACTGGAGTTCCCGTTGGTCTGGCAGCGGGAGGAGCTGCAGCCCCCTGAGACCCCAGGGGCTCCCCAGGTCCCAGTGCCCTCACCTGTGTGCAGGGGCGGGGGGAGCACAGCTGGAGGGCTGGGCCCCAATTGGCCGATATCCCATGTCATGTGACCTTGTGCTCACTATATAAAGGCAGGAGAGGGCCGGGAGGGGCTGCCACTTCTGGGAGTGTGGCTGTGGGGCCTTGGTGTTGGGGATCGCCGGCCGGGAGCAGGTGGGTGTCGGTAGGTCGGTCGGTGGGTGGTGAACAGCTGTATGGTACATTACCTGCTGATATTGCTGTCAGTGTATTGTTCTGTTACTGTTATTAAACTGTTTTTATCCCAACCCGCGAGTCTCCCTTTGCCCCTCCGATTCCCTCCCCATTCCCAAGTGGGGGGGGAGGGTGGGTGGGCGCCTGTGTGGCATTTAGCTGCTGAGCAGGCTCAAACCACAACAGTCCTTTTTGGCGCCCAACGTGGGGCACGAAGGGTTGAGATAATAACAGATTTGATCTGTGGGTACTATCAAGTTTGTTATAATGCTGACTGCCCATCCTGTTATAATGTTATTTTCTTGGCTCCTAAAATCGTGGATTTTGTTGCTGCAGTTGTGTTATACATCACATTACTTACCATATGTAGTCCCCATGTTGTTGCTTATTACCGGTGGGAATTGGATTAAGATTTTTGCCTTGCTGTATTATGTAACTAATTTATGGCATGATAAAATCTTCAGTCCTGGGAGTTATGGGGCACCTACTGGAGTGGGTTAGTAACTGCACCCTCCACCTTTTCTCCTCGGAAAGCCCACCCAAGGGGGAGATACCGTTTTCCATCTTCCCCTTCTCCAAGCTACTTGCAAGTATACTTGAGAATGCATATTCCAAATTACAGTCAGATCGTAAGCCCTCTTTATCAAGTGACTCGAAAGAAAAATGACTTTTTATGGGGCCCTGAACAAAAGCAAGCTTTTGAACAAATTAAACAAGAAATCGTTCATGCTGTAGCCCTTGGGCCAGTTCGGGCAGGACATGATGTTAAAAATGTGCTCTACACTGCAGCTGGGGAGAATGGCCCTACCTGGAGTCTTTGGCAGAGGGACCAGGGGAGACCCGGGGTCGACCCCTGGGATTCTGGAGTCGAGGATATAGAGGATCTGAAGCCCGTAATACTCCAACTGAAAAAGAGATACTGGCAGCATACGAAGGGGTTCGAGCTGCTTCAGAAGTGATTGGTACAGAAGCACAGCTCCTCTTGGCACCCCGACTGCCGGTACTGGGCTGGATGTTCAAAGGGAAGGTCCCCTCAACACATCATGCAACTGATGCTACGTGGAGTAAGTGGGTCGCGCTCATCACACAGCAGGCTCGAATAGGAAACGCCAACTGCCCAGGAATACTGGAAGTGATCACAAATTGGCCAGAGAACAAAGACTTTGGAATGTCACCAGAGGAAGAGGTGACCCGTGTTGAGGAGGCACCACCATATAATGAACTACCAGATAATGAGAAGCGATATGCCTTATTTACCGATGGGTCCTGTCGCATTGTAGGGAAACATCAGAAGTGGAAGGCTGCTGTGTGGAGCCCCACACGTCGGGTCGCAGAAGCTGCTGAAGGAGAGGGTGAATCCAGTCAATTTGCAGAGGTGAAAGCCATCCAGCTGGCCTTAAGTATCTCCAAGCAAGAAAAATGGCCAGTCCTTTATCTCTACACTGACTCATGGATGGTGGCAAATGCCCTGTGGGGTGGTTGCGGCAGTGGAAACAGAGTGGCTGGCAGCGTAGAGGCAAACCCATCTGGGCTGCTGATTTGTGGCAAGATATTGCTGCTCGAATAGAGAACTTGGTTGTGAAAGTACGCCACATAGATGCTCATATACCCAAAAATCGAGCAACGGAAGAACATGAAAACAACCACCAGGTGTACCAGGCTGCAAAGATTAAGGTGGCCCAAGTAGATCTGGACTGGCAGCATAAGGGCGAAAAATTTATGGCTCGTTGGGCCCATGACTCCTCGGGCCATCAAGGAAGAGACACAACATATAGATGGGCTCGTGACTGAGGGGTGGACCTAACTATGGACATTATATCACAGGTTATCCATGAATGTGAGACATGTGCTGCAATTAGGCAGGCCAGGTGGTTAAAACCTCTTTGGTATGGAGGGAGGTGGTTAAAGTATAGATATGGGGAGGCCTGGCAGATTGATTACATCCCGCTCCCACAAACTCGGCATGGTAAGCGTTATGTGCTCACGATGGTAGAAGCAACTACTGGATGGCTGGAAACATATGCTGTGCCCCATGCCACTGCTCGGAACACTATTCTGGGCCTTGAAAAACAAGTCCTGTGGCGGCATGGCACCCCAAATAGAAATTAGTCAGATAATGGTACTCATTTTCGAAATAATCTTATAAACACCTGGGCAAA